GCACAGCACGCACGCACGCACGCACGCACGCACGCACGCACGCACGCACGCACGCACGCACGCACGCACGCACGCACGCACGCACACAGATATATATATATATATATATATACATATATATATATACACACACACACATGCACGCACGCACACGCACACGCATGTATCATAAACACAGCACTTGCCACAAGCACAACAACAGCAACTGCAACAAGCAGTAAATCTACCGCAAAGCAGTACCATTGTCCTAAACAGCATACGGTAAGAAGTACCGTAGGTAAGCAAACTAGCCACGATCGTCGCAGCAGGGTGTCTAGAATCTAGAGGTCACGACTCGAGCGATGAGTCTTGATCCTGAGAGATCTCTGGTGAATCTGGAGTCCTGAGTAGAGCTGAATTGATTCGACCTTCTGGCCCCGAGCCGGACGTCCCTGGTAACCCTGAACATCCCTGGTGAAGCCAGCAGCCAAAGCAATGAAGACCCACTGTCCCCTTGAGGCTCAGCTGGTTCTTCCAGTGACTTGGGCACTGGTGTTTTGTAGGGGTACATGAAAGTTTTGTGGTTTCATCGGCTTTCTCCTTCTAGGAGCTGTGGAGGTTTGCAGCTGTCGGGATGTCGATCTTCTGCTTCCAGGGTGTGAGACCTGGCTTTACGTGTATGGGCCTGCGATAACCGGGGATGTGGGGGTATTTCCACAATTTGCATTGCTGTTCCTAAATCTTGCTGGTACCGCAGCTGTTTCTACTGCTATTGCTGGTCCCGTGGTTGCTGGTCTGCACCTGTCAATGCGTTTCGATTACTGTTGCCTTATTGACCGATCGGTTTGTTGCTGTGTTTGAGCACTTTTTTCGGGCTTGCCACAGTTCACATTAGTGTGCTTTCAAGCCGCAGTACTGGTAGTGATGGCAATGCAGCCTCTACCAATTGCTACCAATACTTGTGCTGCCGCTGCTCCTGCTACCCCTACTACTAACTCCTCCTCCTACTCGTGCTCTTCCTCCTACTCCGACTACCGTACCACTGGTCTCAATATCGTGACTGTCATCCTTGCTCTTGGTAGTGCAAGTTTCTAGAAATGCTCATAAAATATGTAAAAGAAGCATAGGAAACCAAGGAAGTGATCTCATCACAAGAACTTCTACAGCTGCCAAGGGGTAACCGGGCAGTCAGAACAGTCGAAGTGAATGTTTCGAGGTGGGCGTTTTGCACCGCTGGTGCCACCATCGTCAGCGGTGGTGTGGCAGAGCGTGTGAAGAGTCTTAGCTGGGATGCTAAACCCTAAACCCTAAACCCTAAGTAGTGCAGGAAGCCTTGATTGGGGGTCTGCGTTTAGGCCGGCTCCTAGCGGAAAGAGCCTAGAGCCCAAGTCAGGGGCACCCGGCTCGCTGAATAGCGAACGGATGCAAAATGATCCCACAATCCCGAACCTAAGGACTTCATGCCAAGGCCTCAAGCATGCAAGGTTTCTGGTGAGGTCGTCGGTTGTAGTGGCAAGTTGGGGTCCAAAGTGGATGGAAGCACATTGTTGGCAGTGGACCAAGTTCGTGTGCCGTTCTTTCGTTTGGTGTGGTCGATCCCGCTGAACCTTGAAAGCCAACAACAAGCCACTTGGAGAGCCCCAAGTCATAAGCCCCGAAAGCCAGACAGGCATGGTTTGATCCTTGCATCCGGGGTAGAATCGGGAAGAACCCTTCTGAGATCCCTCAAAAGCAACACTCAAGACCTCCATTTTGCATCGTAAAGCCTTGTATCCCGCACAGCAATAAAGCCTTCAGTCCGGCAGCCAGTACCAAAGGAGCCCTACCTATGCGGCGTATGCCTTCGGTGCCCTGGACAGTGATCGTAGAGAAGGAAACTGGTCGGGGTCCTGGTTCATCTAGGCCCCTGACTGGAGTCTGCTGCCCTCAAAACTGCAGAATTTGCTTCGTGTTCTCAGAGGCGTCCGCCACAGTCGCTTCTATTCTGTCGAGTCTGTCGAGAGTACTTTTGAAGATGCTGGTGATGGCCATGATGACCACCAGCACCGAGAATGATGATGCTGCTAGTGATCTGATTTTGGTGCTGAGATCGTCTTTTCTTGGATTGCCGGGCCCCCGAACCCCAAGCCTCCGAACTTCCGACCTTGAGCCTTCAGCTTACGGCTGAACAGAGACGGCTCGGCACGAGCTTGGCGATGATTGGGGCACTCCTGCGCACAATTGCTGCGTCATGCTTGTTCGTTTGTGTGCTGACTGCGCCATCGCGATATGTATCCAAGTCATGACGAGCTTCATCTACCCGGTGGTAGTGGCCTGGACATGGAATTACGGCTGGCTGGACACCATCTTCGATGTGGGCAGCGCGGACGGAATTTATCAACAGAAGTTCGAGGGCATTGTGCGACTGCTCTCTTTAGTCTCCCGCTGTCGGGCTTATGCTCTTGTGGGAGTTGCAGTGCAGGAGACGAAGTTTTGAAAGAGCGGCATTCGGGCGCAAGCCAAGCACAAGAGAAGACAAGACAACGTCAGTAAGTCTTGAGAGGCCCAGCGTGCACTTGACATGAAATCGTAGCTTCAAATTGCAGCTTGCAGCTCGACCTGCTACCGTTTGTTAGAGCTCTCAGAAGTGAGATCTGTTCGCAATGTTCGACTGGCTTTGCATCTTCTGAGCTCTTTGGGACTGAACATGCATAGTCACATCATGAAGTACGCCGGCGGCTGGGGATTTGTGGATACAAACTTCCAATGATTCAACAGGTAAGGCCGTTGGTTGCCCGCAGGCCCTTGAATCGCCTTTCCGCACGGTGCGTCTGAAGTAGCATGTCGGCTTCGGGCGTTTCTCTTGGGTTGGTCTCCGATGTCTTTACCGAGACACGGCAAGAGGACCATGCACAATGCAACAATAAAACGTTTCAGCAAGTGTATAAGCTGGTTGCTAGCAGATTGCGAAGAGGTTCCATGTCAGGTTGTCAACAGCAGACAAAATTATGAGGGTAGCCGTGCGTCAGGTTGTCAGCAGCCTCATCAATACTAAGGTTACATGGACTTTGCCGGCAGCGGAATCGTCCACCTGACTGGAGGTGGGACACCGTAAGGTTTGGAAAATTTCAGTATCTTGTTTGGGATAGTGGGGCTGCGCAGTATCATTATGATCTGTAGTGCCCATGAATTGCTTCACCTGGGCATGTAATTCGCCCGAGAGCTGCTCGTGGGCGATAATGCTTTCACGGCGTTTGACCATGCACCCTGAACCGAATCTCACAACGCTGCACCCAAGCCGACAAAGCTAGAGCCGAGCCCCAAAAAACTGGCCGGTGAAAGCTCCGCTGAACTTAAAACTTAGCGCTATATCAAGTCTACATCCCCTGAATTCGGATACCCCCAATACAGACCGAAGGTCTGCCTTGCAGTCGCTAAAAAACCATATTATATATATATATACACATCTGTATTATCATATGTTACACTATAACTATAGACTGTCACATGGTTTCCAACACGATGCCATGCTTTATACGATATGTGACTGTACCAATTAATTGTATTGCACCCTTCCACCCTAAACCCTAAACACTAAGTGTATTATACCCTTCAACCCTACGCCTAAACCCTAAACCCTAATTGTATTATACCCTTCAACCCTAAACTCATATACCCTTCAGCCCTCACCATCATCCTCTAAGGTGTGAGTGCCCTGGCTGGGACCATCGTCCTCGGCCCTCGCACCGGCCGCTTCGTCAACCCGGAGGACTCGATTTCTCCACGTCTCTTCTAGCGGCCTTTATGGTTACCTATACTATTTTCGGGGGTTCCTTACGATAGTTATAGTATAATATAATCAGATACAGGGGCCTTAATAAGTACCTGTCCTGTTTTATTTTGGGGGTTCATTACTATAGTTATAATGCAATGTACCCCCAAACCCTATTCCAATTATGAAGACCCCTATACATTACGGCTTCAGACTTTCATCCCATAAGGGAGAGGAGTTTATGAATCAGGGGTTTCGGAGAGAGATCGGAGCCTCATGCTTGAAAAAGGCGGATTTGGCCATGACGAATTCATGCCTGAGTTTGACGCCCAAGACTTCTTGCACAAGAAATCGAAAATCTCTTCTTGAACTGACAATACACCGGGCGACCCCTGGACCCCTTTCAAACAAAAAGCACGAGGGGTGTCTCTTCTTGTCCGAACGACAAGAAAGCTACCTTCATCAAGACGAGTTTGACCATGCTTTTTGTCCCCGACCTCTGGAGACAAATAATCAGTCTCAATGGTAAACACAAGCCGCCCGAAAAGCCTAACAGGTCCATGTTGGACAGAGACTGAGATTACGAAGTATTATGAGTCTGAGTAGCCTGGAGCTCGTTCCGGCATCCGGGCCTGGACTTCAAGTTTTGAGTCGTCCTGAGATCGCGTCAGGAGTTCGAGCCTCACAATTTGCCCTTGGTGGTGTTGGGCACCTTCGCGCTCTGGTTCCTTGCATGCAAGCGACAACGCCTCTGGCGGATCCGTCTGTCAGGGTATTGGGTCCCAGCTCTCCAAATGAACCCTAAAACCCCGAAGCGCCAAAAAAATGAGTTGAGGTTGGAAGAAGGGTCGGAGACAAACACACTCGAGATTGATGGTCTGAAGCTGCATGGAGTGTCTAGCTCCCTTACTCGGATGCTATCCAAGCACAGCATCCTGAACAGGAAACACCTGGGGATCCATAATAATGTAAGCATTTGTACAGGAACTTCGCACAATGCACATCTTCGCAACGGGTGTGCGCCGGCAGCCTCTGAAGTCTTAGTCAGGTTCGGCTGGTATGGCTTCAACCCGGGATCCACCCTCGGCATGCACACTGGCGATACTGGTGCAATGGCCGCTCAGGTGGGGAGCTTCCTTAGGGTCAGGATGGAGGGTTGGTGGTTTAGGGCTGTAGGCTCATCGACACTGCAAGCCTTGAGCGTGACCCTGATTGCCAGACCGGCATAGCATTAGACTTCACAGAAGAGTAGCTTGTCCCAATACAGATTCTTTGTTGAAAAGCACAGAAGGTCCGTGTTTGCAGCACACGCTTCACATTGAGGCAATAACAACAACCAAGACAGCGACTGCCGTGCCAGAATGCGCGGAGATAGCTAAAGTCAGTTAAAATGGTTTACATCAATTGAGATTCCCATCACATCCACAGCTCGCCCTTTGCGAGAGATAGGATCCGACACAAGAGACAGTTCTACAACCTGGCATCTGACTATCAAAAGCATGGTTAAGCTGTCTTGCATCTGGTGTTAGTAGCAAAAGTGTTGTCAGCAAGGTCCACATTCGTCTCAGCATGTTGCGTTCTACGTGGTGTGAACTGCGGCAGCACTTGGGAGGCTATAACCAGCAATCACTAACAAAGCAAGCAACACGGATACCCACATCAGCAGCAGCACAGTTGATACCAGCATTGACAACAAGCATACTGCAAGCCCGACGAATGTAACAGCAAGAACAGGAAAGACTTCGGCGACAAGAACACATGTTGATTCTTCTGTTGCTACTGCACGACTTTGGAATATGGCTCTGGCTATGACTGAGCATGAAGCCTTGTCGCAGCCTTCGTCCGATGGTTCTCAATCGAAATGCTCTGCGCAGGTGGCCATGAACACGACCATCTCAGCCGCTACTGGTGGCCTGACGGTTTCTTGCCTGGCTGTGGGGCCTAGCAGCCTGGTTTGGGGGGGTGGCTTTAGCGTTGAGGGTGCAGAGTCTTCCTAGTACAGTTTATAGGATTTATGACGTGGCTCCTCGTCGGTTCTCGTCGTTCCGAAGAGTCGCATCTTCGGGGCTCTTCGAATTTAGGGTTTAAGCTGCAAGGGTTTGGGGATACCTGGAGTTGAGGGCATGTAGCTGCGGGGATTACAGGATTGTGTGGAGTGGCTTTTCGTGTGTGTTGGTGTAGATGTGCTCGCAGCAATTGGTCTGGAATGTATGGCTAGCGCTGAATTAGGTTACTGCTAGAAGATCTTGCATATCGTGCTCAACCCCGTTCGTGTTGATAGGCCTGGGCCCTGAGTCCCAGCCAAATGCATCATGAGCTTCACAACCCGAAGCCCACTGCCCAAAGTGAACAGACCCTGAGTCTTCCACATCCACAGAGTGGGTGACCTAAATCTAGACCCCCAAATAGTAGCATCCTCATGCCAAACCCTACCTTGAGCAACCCCTTCACATGTGTCAACGCTGTCTACGTGTTGAAGCTCCCAACACACTCCAAAGCCCCGAACCCCTGAACTTCCAAGCACAAACCCCTAAACCCTCCAACCCGGACCTCACACTTCGAACCCTGGGATCTAAGGGCCGAAGCCTAAAAGCTGCCCGCCTTCAACCCGAAGCGGTGAACCTTTGGGGCCGACAGAAACAAGAATCCCAGGTCTTCATGGTCCGCTTTGGCATCTACAAGAAGCATCGGGGACTGCAGTTTGGGGGTTTAGGGCTCGGGGACTCGGGGTGCAGATTCCAGCGGTGGGCGGCCGCTTAGGCAGCGCAGCATAGTGTCGCTGCTTCCTGATCCGGATGTTTATCCCTCATCCCGATGGCTTTCAGAAAGGCCACCCCGCACACAAACATGTCGTAAATGTAGCGAAGCTTGCAGTCCTAAGTATGACACTTCGTCCAGGAGATCAAAATATCGTGTAAGGCCTCCCGCTAGAAGCTCATGCCAACTTAGCCATGATAGCCCGCCCCCAAGTAGTCTGCATTGGGCCCCAAAAAGCTTGGCAGCGCCAGGAGATCCAACTGATCCAACCATGTCGAAAGCAACAAAGCCCCAAGGAATCCCGTCCTGACGGATAAAAGAGATCAGACAAAGGGCTCAAAACGCAACGCTGAGCAGGTCAAGTCTTCAAACTCTGTTCGGTGAGTGTGTGTGTGTGTGACGTACTTACACATCACCTTCGCCCAGCTCCGGCTCGTGTGTACATCCCAGACCGATCTCAACCCCTTAGGCCACTGCTCGAGAGCGTATGATTCTAAATGCCACGCCTCGTTCGTGCGCACACTAGGTCACTAGGCTTCGTGCGACCGCAGCTGGTGCTGGTGTCATAAGTTGTTGCTATTGCCGTGCTGCGCCGTTGTTTGTAGGAATATCGCCACTACTATCACGAGTCCAGCCTTGATACTGGGTCTCCGAGTCTTTCATGAGACACAAAGCTTGGAGCTTGGCGCGTGGTTGCCAAGCAACCTTCCCTAAAGCCCTCTGCTCACCTGCTCTGACATGCCAAGGTACGATGTCGGTGGCCTGTGTCACTGGGACCGGCTTAGGTTTACTATAGGGCCTAAGTAATTGCCTGTACCATTTTGGTGTCCTTAATATAGGTATAGTATAATTATGTACCCTAAAGCCCCATGTTAATTGTTAAGGCCCCTATGTTAGGCCGCAGGATTTTATTGGCTGAGCTCCAGGAGCGCGGTGTCCGTTGGGGATGGCAGTGGTCCTGGGGATTGGTATTCAGATTTGGTTCGGGGTAGAATACCAGGACACTCCTTGTGCCTTCAATTTAGGGGCAGATGGGCCCAATTAATGGGCATTTAGGGTCGCATGGAGGGTAGTAACGATGTTGAAGCGGGCATGGTTCTGTCGCGGTCCTCCCAGTGCCTTTATGGCAAAGAGCCACAGGTCAAGTCTCGCAACGTGGCCCCTTTGCTACGTGACTGTTCGTATGCCTTTGAGGGGATTAAATGATAAGGTGTTTCAGAGGCCCCAAAACTTCTGAGCATGCTGAACCCTGAGACCTTTACTTCCCAACCACGCGAATCGGCGGATCCCTGCGGAGCCTTGTCAGCAAAGCCTTGAACTCTGGCACAGGAAAGCCCGATCCTGATGACCGCAAACCGAAAAGCCCAAAAACCCCCAAAGAAGAACACCCTCACCTTCCAACGCTCCCACAGGCAACGGCATTCTTGCCGGACTGGTCTCGATCACGGCCCCCTGCGGCTGCCTGGAGTTTTGTTTAATTTCTCACGGTTTAGGAAAGGGGCATGTGCAAGGGCTGCTGGAGTGTGAGTGGTTTCCGTTACCCCTTTGATTTTAAAGGGTCCGGGTTCTGGGAAGCTGTGAGCTTTGTGTCTTTGGCTTAGAACAAGTCGCTCTGGTGTAACTTTGGGGTCTTCGAGGGTTTCTGGACAAGGCAACGTGGAGTGCGGCAGTGCCTTTGCGATTGGCTTCATCGGAGCCCTCGTCTACCAGGCCAGCCACGAAGGGTTCTAAGTTGAAAACAGGGCTTTGAATAGGTAGTCATGGAGTTCGGGTGTGATTATGCCAGAAGACTCTGGCGAAGGCGACGGACCCTGCGCGATGCGCTTCTAAAACACTCCAAAAGGATGGTCTGTCCGTCGCACATTGCGATTAGCACGTCGGGTGTCGAGCTTGTCGTGAAACACATGTATAGTGTGTGAAAGGACAAGCCCGGCGCATTCGACGCACATGCCACAGCCGTTGCTGGCTTCGCGTCGCCCGACGTTTCTGTTCCCTCCCCTCCGGCCCTTTCAATTTTCTTCAAAGACTCAAGGGTCGTCGCTTGCTGGCGGCGACAGGCCGGGATGCAGAAAGCCTCCCCAGCGCCGTACAGCCCTGCTCGGGCGAAGGCGACGGACCCGGCGCGAAGCGCTTCCGACCACTACGAAAAGAGGGTCTGTCCGTCGTACCATGTTGGTTAGCTGTCGTTCTTCGGGCTTACATTTCAGGCTCCTCCGTTGTACCTTCTCGTTCATGGAAGTTACTTTACATGTTGTTGGTTTCGACAGACTGTCAAAAAAGCTGGGCCGAGCAATGCTCTCTATGAACCACTACTGTTGCGATTTCTTGTTGCATATGTTTGGGTTGCAGGAGCAACTGAAAGGTTTGAGACCGAGCCGTCCTGCCGTGCGTTTAGTGAGCCGGGGACGTGATGATGATGTGTGCGAGATCATTGTGGATGAGATTTAGAACATAGCGTTCTTGGAACAGCAAAGCACGAGCTTTATCTTTCAGCCTTCTAGTCTAGATGCACAACTGATTGAAACAAGCACCAAAATCAACATGCACGTCGAAAGGATATCGCAGTATGTCGAACCAGTTCCGGACTGAAGTTTCTTTCTGGCTCAGGGGGCGTCCATGTTGCTCCAGAAGTTGAAGATTGATGATCCGGCGCTCTGGCTTGCAGAACGGGTTTCTCAGCTCTGGGTTGCTCCGGCTTGGAGCTTAGGGTTCAAAATTGAGTATGGGGTTCCAGGATTGAGGCTTTGGGTTTGAATTGGCTTTGAACGCTGAGTTAGTCTGGATGATGTGCATGAGGTCTACTACCGGTGTGGGTGTTTGGATTTCTTTACCACACCCTAACCCTAAACCCTGTTCAGGTTGCGGGTAGCGCGTATCCTCGGGATAAATCGGTGGAGGGCTGTCGATGTTGGAGGGTGCTTCAGCATCGGCTTGTTCTGGGCCATTGGGAACACCGACAAATGTCAAAGCAATTGAAAATAACATCAACATACCCTGTACACACACACACGCATATACAGATGTATATGTATGTATGTATGTACGTATGTATGTATGTATGTATGTATACATATATATATATATGTATGCAGGCCCATTGCTGGCCAAGACCCTACTCTACAAACGAACCGCCTACGTCTGAGTGGGAAGGCAAACTTTTTCTCGTATGTCAAGTCTCCAGAGTCACGGAAGCTTCCACTGGCGCCCCAACCGTGTCATGCACAGAGCCGCTCACTTCTGTGGTGGGATGGCATACGGAATCGAGTAAACTGCCCAGCTGCAGACAGGGAATACCCAACGTGCAAACAGTCCGACACGGATGGCCCAATAGCGTAAGTTGGAATGGTGTGTGCTTTAGCATGCCCGACTCTCCTGCTGTCCATGGAGCTATTGCTCAGCATCCCCAGCCCAAAAGCACCATGTCCAGAGCGTGGTCGTAGGAAAATTTGAGTTGAGATCTAGAGAGGGGCAACTGCAACATTCATATTCTAAGTATACAGAATTATGGGTATGAGCGTAAAAGAATGTGTGGGTGCATATATAGGTATACATACATATATATATATATGAATATTTGTTTATTTATGTGTTGATTTGTTTACATGTATATATATATATTTTTTTTTCTATTTATTCATATTGAAATTTACATATGTGTGTATGTATGTACGTATGTACGTATGGATGGATGGATGGATGGATGGATGCATGCATGCATGCATGCATGCAGATGCATGGGCATGCCTGCATGTATGTTTGTGTTTTTGTTTGGATTTGCATTTGTTTGTTTGCTTGGTTGGTTGTTTGTCTGTTTGGTTGTTTGTTCGTGTTTAGTTTGGTCGCATGTTTGTGTGATAGTTTTTCTGTGTAATTATCTGTTTCTTTGTTTGCTTTCTTGTTTGTTTGTGTGTGTGCTTGCTTGATTGCTTGGTTGGTTGTTAGTTTGCTTGCTTGCTTGCTTGCTTGCTTGCTGCTTGGTTGCTTGGCTGGCTGGCTGGCTGGCTGGGTGGTTGGTTGGTTGGTCGGTCCTTCTTTGGTTCCTTCGTTCGTGTGTTTGTTTGTGTGTGTGTGTATGCATGTATGTATGCACACCAGGAAGTAAAGTGAGTCGTGTTGCGGTCATATCAACAGAGAGCATTGTGTCGTTTGCTGCGGCGAGAACACAGACGGTAGTTCCGCCGAGACGATCCAGGTTGGCTCGCGCAGGTCATGCAAGGCATATTGTGGAGGTAAATACACTGGATGAGTCGTGGTTGACAAGGAAGCATGCAGGGTTCGGAGTAGAAATGAGCCTTTGGTTCGGAGTTGCGAGAGCACGTACGCGTTTTGCACAGGATGCTTGAGGATGTGAGGAGTAAACACGAGAATATTATGTCTGCCACATCACGGACTGTGCTGTCATATAAGACACATTCTTAGGGAACATCATAGGGCTGGTAGGATGCAGAACTGATACCCCCAACTGGCGGAGCCCTCCACTCACTTGCAGTAATATTTAATTACAGTCTTTTATGTGTGTGTATATAGATATGGAATATACCTAAAGATATAGATATAGATTTGAGCACCTTCTCTTTGCACGCACACGCTCTCACCCACCCACTCACTCACCCTCTCTCTTAGTCGCACCACAACATAGGATCAGGCCACCAGCCTTGGACGCCAGGTGGATGCGAGCCCTGTTCATGGCTTCTGCGGCGTTTGGGGCTTGCTCGCAGCAGGCTCTGCAAGGGATTGAGCAGATATCCGTTTGCTACCGTTACCTCGCAGAAGTGCGGCCCGATGAGTACGCTCGAAAGCGCCTGCACTAGCCTACACTCGAGCAAGTCTTGCTTGCTTCAGCCAGTCAATGTCCCACAGCAAGTTAGGCTTAGTAAAGCACCCTCCATGTCGAAAGTGGCGTGGACGCAAATGTGCTAGAAGCCTTAAAGCTAAACCCTAAAGCCTAACTGCTAAGCTGCTAAGCCCCAGTCCATCGCATCCCCACAAACCCTAAAGCCCTCAAGAGCAAAGCCTAAAACCGTAACTGTAACCTTTTTGCTCCTTTGCCCCCTTCTCTCATTCATCCTTATGGAGGTCTTTTCGACTGGGGGAAGGGCTTTGACCACTACCACGCCTGGAATGGATTCAGCTGCAAGTCGGGGACCCGGGTGATGGGTTTGCTGGGTTCGGGTTTAAGAGTTTCTCTTTGGGGGCTTCGGGGTTCAGTGCTTAAATACGCGGCATATCACTTGGGCGGATGTTGCTTTTTGAAAATTGGCTTGCCTTTCTCTTGTGGCTTTGGAATCCCGCGGACCAGATTTTGGATCCCACGTTTGAGGGACATGAGATTACATGAGATGTGGACTGCGGGTTGAGGAACTCATGGGGTCCAGATCCAAAAAACTCGGTTTTGAGGGTAGAGCTATTTTCTTGGGTTTGGGGCTGCAGATTTTTTTCATTCCGAATCCCTGCGTCGTATGTGTTTGGCTGATACGTTTCAGGTGTCACTTGCAATGAACTTGGGGTGCACTCAGGGTCAACGGCTCTTCGATGGTCGATATGCTTCAGCAAACCAGAATAGCGGCCTACTCGCAGGCAGCATGACGTCGTGCCTCCATGAGAAGGCCGTTGACAAGCTGACAAGCCTGCAATAACCCTACATCCCCAAAGCCCGCTCGAACCTTCAATCCTCAGATATCTGCACAAAACCTTTACGAGGCCCGTCAGCGACACCGACTCGAGCTGCATGACTGCTATCGGCGGCAGAGCTATTGCTGCACAGGCGATTATGGCAGCTTGGACTACGAGAGTCAGAGAGTGACTGCAGGCTGAAGTGAGCTGCTAGGCTTCGGGGTTTGAGTGCAGTTCTGGTACTCTTGAGAATCGCAGTACTTGAGTTGCCTGTGCCCGAATCTCAACTAGAAGGTGAGGGTGTGCGTACACACAAACCACACACAGACACATACGCACATTGATGCCCTTGTGCTCAGACATGTGTAAGGTTTGACACGACCCTGGGGTTAGGGCTTGGGACTCAAGGCTAGTTTAAGGTTGCTGAGAGCTCGCTTCAGCCTAGGGTTCAGCGTGTGTTGAATCCGACAGATTCAATACCTTCAGGGTTTGGGCCTTTGGACATTCGGGCATCGGTGGACTTGTGGCCCTCAGCACTGGAGGCATCGCAGCCAACCCCGGAGACCAAAATCCGGAGTTGCTTGGTGCCTCCTTCAAGGCTCAGGCATGTTGAAGCAACGCAGCTCTAAACTTGCTAGCTTCGAACCCCTACACACAGACCCCCGACCCCCAACAGAACCAAACCTAAGGCTTCCAATACGAGCTTACAGTCATCGCCAAGCGCCTGGACCCCACACCCTAAACCGTAACACCCCTAAACCCTGAACCCTAAACCGTAACACCCCTAAACCTCTGAAAAAACCCGTAAACCTCTGAAAAACGATTCCAGCCCAACAATAAGGCGCTGGTGATCATCCTCTGGGCCGGAACTCTTTCCGGTGTCGCCTTCTTCGCATTGAAGCGCCTTTGTCTCAAGCGCCTATGGGGGGAGCTTTGGCCTGGGGCAGGGGTGAAGGGCTCCCAAAGCCTGACAATAATCCAGGGGTCTTATTAAGGAGGTTCAGTTGGTTTGTAGTATACTATGACTATGATCATGAAGGGACTATCAGAGGACATTCTTGCTGTCTATTCCGACCTCGATAATGTTACGTAGTTCCTTGGTCCGGGTCGTGTTTCAGTTTCTTTAGCACAGTCATTACGGCCTCCTTGTTGCTATTCTCAGTACTGCTATTGTGGCAACACCATGTCACTATGAACTGCTCATTCACGACGATTTTCCATCTTGATATACTCAAGACAAGCAACACCGGCCTGTGGAGCAATTGAAGCGGTTCAAGGCTTTGAGTTTCGCATGCTGTTCAGCCTCCTCGAAGTCCAAGTCCCAAGACGCAAACGTGTGTTGTGGAGACCTCGAGCCAACCTCGGGCAATGAGTTTCCGATGTGCTGCACGACCTTCCGATCCCAGGATGACAGGCAAGCTGCGCATCGACGAAGAGACGGAGGAGGTTCGAATCTGAGTTGCCACCGTGCGGTTGGGCGGTTGGGGTATGGAAAATTTGAAGTCCAACACCGAAGTGCAGCCCATCATCGCATTGGTGACATCGACATGCATCGTGGCCAATGGTAGTCTTGTCAACCATTCTCACTCTCTTCATTCACATCACCATCATCGAGCTCATGCTTTTGGAGGAGCCAAGAGAAGGTCGGGCGGTTGCTTGCGAGTGCAACAGCTCAGCACCTTCCTCCCTGTGTCATGAAGTGGCTGTTCCAACACTGCCTTTTATGTGTATATATATATATGTATATACACACTTATATATATATATACATATACATATTTACACATGTATACATATATATATACACA